CGCTTCTAGTAACAAGTGCCTTACTAGTAGTAACAAGAAGCTCCTAGTAGCAAACATTGTTTCTCATCGCAAACATTGTTCCTACTAGCTTCTTGTTACTTTCGAGGCATGCCTGCGTCGAGTGGCCGAACATATGCTCATGTTATCCTGGTTGACCAAATTGGCGGGGCAAGCCGTGCTTCCCATGAAATCTTGGTCGCAGCTGCACCGCTGCTGCTTGGAAAGCACTGAAGCATACTGCATCATACTCTATACTGACTGTTCTCTTGGATTGTCCTTCCAACTCAGACGAAGGCTAGATCGCCCTGAGATCCTTTCCCAGGTAGCCAACAGACGCAGGTTCCATAGGGAAATATTTCATGCAAATTTTGGGGATCAGACTCAGTATACACCGCCGCCCAGGTTGGCATGCGCATGCCGCTCGACTGCCTTTGTGTGGAGTCATGCGATATTCCTTTTTCACCTCAACATTTCCACACTTTCTCCAGGTTTCTTCCATTTTCGGTTCAGAACTGCACCCCCACCCAAGTTCCTGGAGGTCTCACGCAGTTGGAGTGAGATTTGCTACTTTGCAGCATTTGCGTCGCTTCGGATGTGTGGTGACCACTGGTGCTTTGTTCTGAAACGTCTCCAAGTTGATTGACTGTGGCATGTGCCAGTTTGACCGTGGCCATGTGCCCACTGCCCAGGTGGCATTTGTAGGGGAATGGCCGAGCCACGGAGAGATGGCGATGAACGCCTTCAAGAGATTCTGAAGGAGTTGGCCGCGAACCTCTATACCCTGCAAGTGGCAAACAAGGCCTTTCTATACATGGGAAAGAAGAACTAGTTCCTTTTAGCAATCCAAGTAAATGGGTTAGGCAGGATGCATTCAGCCGCAGAAGACCTTTTTGAAACAAGGAGCTGGTAAAGCTTTTTCGATTGCTAAGTCTATGGTAGAGTCTTTTTCAGCTTTAAGAACTTGCCAGGTGAACTTGCGCGTGCCCAACCTGAAGCTGCCCAAGGTGCCTGGTGCCGGCCTGCGCCGCTTGCTGCACAAGGCAGTGCGTGGGGGACAGGAGAATGATAAAGGACAGTCAGGAGCCAAATGGAAACAAGGAAAGGACATGACATAAAGGAAAGCAATAAGAACAAGAAAGCAGAGAAGGAAAGAAAGAACGGTCTATAAAAAGATCTGACAAGGAAGGAACAGAAAGAACAACGGTGTATGGCCTTTTGTTCGTTTCTTTCGTGCACCACAGCTGATGCCTTCCCACATTTCCGCTTTGACAGGAGGTGGGCCAACAGGCAGACACAGGTGGTTTTCATCCCAAAGAGCCGACCACAAACCTTCCTACTTCGCCGACGACAGATCGTCCACGAAGGACTAGATGCAGATTCTCCGCTGCTTCGCAGGGATCGAGCCGCCGAGAGAGAGAGTGCAGAACCAGCAGACGAGACCAGCCAAGCAGCTGAAGCAGATGCCGCCGAGGCAATACCGGTGACATGGCAAGTTTTTACGTGTTGGTGATTGGCACAAGGTAAACTAGGTGGTTGCACTTATAAATGTGACAATGGAGGCCCCACTCACGCCAATTGATGGGCTCAAAAATGCTAAACAGACAGACGCACCTTTTTCATGTGTTTGGGACTCCTTGGTCCTTGGTTCAACTTCCCAACAGAACATGCCCGAGGATTCGGCGGCCTTGGAGGGCTGCATCGCCGCTGCACGGGCTGAAGCATTGGAACTGGAGACGGCCGAGACGCTGCCGCATGAGCAGCTCGGCGCCGCCCGCCGCGCGAGCGGACCGGGAGATGGGCGCGGAGGCCGACAGCTTGGAGCGGTGCTGTAGTCTTTTTTGTCAAAAAAGATTGCTCAGCATAAGATATGTTTGGGTTGTTTCATTCGAAAGTGCCATAAAGTACCTTAGCAATTTTTGAGACATACCCTGTGATACCTACTACGCAAGCAAGATGAAAGAAGGAGAGTGCAATGATGCAGTGTGGTGAAAGACCAGAGGACATTTTGTGGATCTCATTCCTTTCCAAGGAAAGAGAGGTTGTTTGCCCTTCATCCCCACTCTTCAAGCTTATAGACGGTCGGAGACAGACGATAGAAGTATCATGACCTATCAATGCTGCCACCGGGGTGTTGTCAAAGACAAGGAGTGGAAAGGACTGGCTCACGTCGCTGGAGCAGTGCGGGGTTGGTTTGGTCCTCGGACGGTGGACCCGGTGGACGGTGTGAACCACTCTTCGGTCGTTGATGGACTTCGGTCCGCCCAGGTCGCCACTCTGCGCGATAGACATGGCGAGTCAACTCATGCGTGGCTCACTGGAGGACAGCCCGTTCAACATGGGCATTTGGGGGCGTCGGAGAGTGCATCATCACAGAAGCTACGAAAGGCCTGTATTTTTTGCTTTGTGTCTCCAGTCTCGTCTCCACCCAGTCGAAACAGGATTGTGTCTCCAACTGATTCCTTCAACGGGTTGACTCTTGCTCCATCAAGCCTTGGAGGACATCCGAACCATCCAGCTAGCACTTCTGGAGTTTTGAAGACCTGAGAAACGCTGCACCCTCCCGAGCGGACGATGGTGGTGAACGAGGCGCCCGCGCCTTCTCCGACCGAGCCGAAGACTCCTCGGACCCCGAGATCTCGAAGGGCCGGTGGCACCGTGGCGTGGCGGTGACGCCGGGAAGCCCGCGTGGCGAAGCCTGGAAAAAGGAGCCGAAGAAGCTTGGGGCGATCTGCGGCGATCTGTCGGCCGATCCGTTGGTTGTTCGAAGTTGGCCGACATGCTTGGCTGTTGGGAGAATTGGGTTTGTCGGTCTTGGAGATGGCTTCTTTTGAACACATTTACCTTTCCTTTTTGGGCAATTTAGGACACCAAACTGCTTCAAATTCCGCTTCCAGAACGATGTCTCTTGAAACTCTTGAATTGTGGCTGCACACATTTTCACCAAACCCTGGATGCCGCCTTTTGCTTGTTGTTACCTCCAGACTCCAGCGGGTTTCGGATGGCCGGCCCAGGTGGTGGCACCTCCAGAGTTACCTCCTGCAGCCAAGAGGCGAAAGGTGCGAGGACTCGAACGGACGAACGAAGGATCTGAAGAAAGGCAAAACCAATTGAACGGTATTTGATGTTTCTTTTTTCCCCCATAGCTTTTGCTAAAGGTATTGACTTACCTCCAGGTATTGCAGTGGGAATTTGATTTTTTGGTCAAACATTGGATGAGGGTGTTGCCTTGCTCAGAACATCCAGCTGAAGATATGACATGATTGAACCGCCTGCGGCATCAGGTGAATGCATCTTCGCTCAGAAGAATCACCGCAGCTGATGAATCGGACGATATTGTTGAGGCCCGATGTTGAGATTATGTTTACATGAGCGTTTCAGAACTTCTTTGTACAGTGTTACAGTGCAGATGTTCCAGAAAGTGTTTCCCAGTCACACCTTGTGATCTTCCTTTGTTTTAGGTACAGTAAATTCAATCCTTGAAGCACGGATTTCCACACTTCTAGATCAATTTAACTGCCTGTGACATGTCTATATTTTGTATCTTCTCATTTGCGCACAACTGTAAGACGATTGCTAGTCATGAAGGTTGCGGAGAGTGTGCCTCCATCAGATGACGTGGAAGTGGTGCAATCCCAAGAGCCACACCAATCAAAACGAGATTTGAAGGTCTAAAAGTTACGTTTCCCAAGAGATCTAGGAATGAATCATGTGAAGAACCTGAGGCCTGTTGCGAAGTATCCCGGTAGCTTTCTTTCTGCCAGCTTCTTTTCTTAACCTAACCCCCCTCCCCCTTCACAGGCTACGCCCCCCAGCCAAAAAGAAACAACAAAAGTGAACATGTGTTGCTTCGCTCCGTACTTCATTGGTGCTGGCGCTACTGCAGGTCACCCGGTTCTTATCGATTGGAATCCCTCGAAGTGGACGATGGACGACTCGACCGAAAATCGGCAACTCGACTCTCGGTGGAATCCGCTTCCGTTCAGTTCCTGAGGTGGAAGCTCCCAAGAGTCAGAAGCTCAACAAGCGAAACCGACACGCACGATGTACGACGCACGTGTCAGTTCCTGACACGATGAGTGCAGCTCATGATTCGCCCGCTGAAACAGGATTCGCTGCTCATTTGAGGCGACAAAAAGACGATAGCCGTGAAGTCCGCGCCAAAGCGGCCTAAGAAGGCAGCCCACTTCAAATGCTGCTGGACGCTTCTTCCTTGAGTTGACATTGTCAAGCCTGGCCAAGCACGTGCAACCTCACGCCAGGCAAGCGTGGAGGCTGAGGTTGTCGAGGTGGCTCCTCATGAAACGTTCCGTCCTAGTCATGACCAGTGCCAAACAGGTTTTCGGAATCTTTATTATCTTTATGTTGGTTGCAGGTGGGAGAGAAGGAAGTGAAGAAGGCATGGAGTTGCGATGTTTGATAGATTCCCATTCATTGTCAACTCACTACATGGAGATTCTCAGTGGATTCGCAGCGACGTACTTGCAGCTTTGCTGCTGACGAACGGGCAGCATTTTTGAACACCAACGGGTCTATGCAGAAATCGAGAACGCCAACAGACCGGTCACCACAGCTGAAATCAATGGGGACAGGTCACCACTGATGAGGACTTCTGGCGTGTTCAGGCGGGGTGGGACTTCTGGCATCGGACGGCCAGCTGAAGAAAAAGGTAACACCCAAAACATGTCCCGATTGTTTCATTGATGCTGTGAGTTCGAAGGTCTCTGAGACGCAGACGCGTGTTGTCAGCCACTTTGTATACTAACGTAGTTTTAGTTTGTGTGAAATGTGGATCATATCCAGATGTCCTATCAGTATATCCATCATGTTTCACCGTCACCACTAATCCTTTGGGGATGGTAGATTCTAAGTGCGTTCCAGAACTAGGACCATTTCCCCGTGCTCAGATCGAAGCCATCTATCGACGAAGAAATCCACACAGGCAGCTTGCGACATGCTTTTCATTTCAGGCGGTCGCACTTGTTGTGATAGTGATAGCTTTATTTATACTGACATATATGCATTGTTGTTGATATTGATTTCTTTGCCTTTTTGAATAGAGTAAGAGGGTGGCGAAGTGTGACATTCATGCACATGTTCAAGCCATTTTGCATCTCCACAACCACGACCACGGCCACGCCGCCACCACCACCACCACCACCACCACCACCACAACCTCACCTACCTACGGCCATACAAGAATGCATGCATCAATTGAACAGGTCCAGGCTTTGCACAGCTCGCCTATGGGGGTTCAATCCTGGCTTCACCAATCATATCGTATCATAGAGAGAGCTGACTCACCGAGATCCAAGCGCTGCAAAAACCGCTGAGTCCGAGTGCCCCCGAGGCTGGCTCAAGTGGCGAGCTTGATGGAGTTCCTGGGCAAAGCTGTAGCGAATGCGTTCCTTGTGGAAATCAGTACTGTCCTTCCTTCGGTTCTTTACAGGGGGATCGGATCGTAGTGCAGATAGACATCTACTTTGGACTCCAGTCTCATGTTAATCTCGAAACATGCCAAGGAAGCACAAGGGCAAAGAGCTGATCTTGTACCAGCAGGCCTGTCTTGACATGGAACAAGTTTGCATCTTGGCGTTTTCACTTTTGGCTTCGACATGGTTTCCCATACTCCAAGATTTTGCTTCGTCATTTTTCGATTTAATGAACAACACTTGCTGCGATGCAATCGACCCAATTGGAAAAGCACCACCAATCCTTTTGGGCCGTCTGGTCACTTGTGCGGGGTCAAATTCCATTCAAACAGATGGGAAACTGACGCGGCAAGCGTCAGAGTTCAGGTGTGTCAGCGATACGACTTGAATCCCAAGAAGCCGGGACCCACAGTGGGGATTGGGGCGGTGTGCTACCAATGAACAGCCTATTTGGCAGGTCCCAACGGACCGATGAGTGCTGATGAGAAAGACGCAGACTCCGTGTTACCCCGAAGTCAGGTTCTATGCAGACCCGAAGTCGTGGGAGTCTGAGGACAAGGCCGACTTGACCCGGTCACCCGAGTGAAGTGCATCTCAAGCAGTCTATGTCTTGGGTCACTTGAAACGGATCAAGAAATTCAGGATGTCAAGGATGATGACGATGCCCCTGAAGTGTCTCAAAGCGGTGTTCCTTCATCCAAAGGTGCGCAGCTGCTGAAGTTGTTTCGGTCTTTTCATGTCTTGTGATTGAATTCATGGGATACAAATCCGTGAACTGGCGCGTTTTGGCGCACTGTCACACTATGACGCTTAGCCATTTGGATGTCAACTCCACCTTACAGTAAGTGAAGGCTCGCTAAAGCCACGGCCTTTGTTGGGTTTCGCGGGCGTCAGGACTGATCGACGCTTCCGCCCCGCCAGGGGCCTTGCGAGTGAACACTAGTGGTAACATACACAATGATATGTGTACATGGGCTTTGTCATAGGTGTATATCATACATGTGTTTGTATGTATATCATAAACACCTATCTCTCTCTCTCTATATATATATATGGGCCATATGTGTTTGGAAAGCTCACAAATCATGTCTTTGTCAACAGCTTGGCTTCTTCTCACGCTTGCAAGGCAGCTTGAGACCCATGCTTCTGAAAGCGGAGTTAGGGAACGCATGCAACCTTTTTGTTTACTTCGATCAATTTGTCATTCTTCAAGGGCCTTCTCCAATGGGTATTGACCAATACTGCGATAGGACACTCATCTGCAATCAAAGCGTGCATTGATGTACAGCACACCACAGCAACCAAACACCTGTCACGTTCTCTACGGATCAGCTGATGTGTCCCTCGAACCCCCGAGGCCGAGCTCGGGGAAGCCAGTCTTTGGCGCTTCAGGTTGGGAAAACTGGAAAGCAGCTGATGGTAGGGGGGCTGAAAATCCGTTTGGTTCGAAGCCAAGTCATTCAAGTCATCTCGACAAGAGAGGGGTGTTCCCAGCAAGTCGAAGCTTGTCATTGGACGGGAGGAAGTGCTGCTCTCTTTGGCAAAGAAGCTTCATCAGGAAGTAGCAGCTTGGCTGAACAAGAATGCATTGGGTGGGTGGGTTTTTTGGCAAGCCTTGGTGCCGACGCAGGGTGTTTTTGTTTGGTTTTCAAATGGCCGCCAGGCCTGCTATTTGACATCCCACCTGCTCCTACGGATCCGGACAAGAAGATCAACATCTTTGCCAGTGGCACGCAAGTGAGAGCCCGAGGATGGGACGGATGGGGACTGATGGGACGAAATCCGTAGGGAAAGACATAGCACAAGCATATACTGATATGGCTGTGGGCAAAACCCGTATCCCCCAAACAGGGTAGATTGACCTCAGTAGTCCACGTGTCGACCGTTGGATGCATCGACGTCGCGAATCGGCGGACTGCCCGGTCTGAGGCAGAAAAGCGCTTTGCCACAGCCGATTCGGGAAGTTCTCCAGCTGCATCCAGATGCCAAGTATTTGGTACACCATCTATCCTCAGGTCAAGAAGTCAAGATAAGCATGTAGTGGGGGGATCAACTGGTTGAATCAAGTGGTGAAACTGGATTTGACCAGTGATCTGCACAGTTGAACAGTGAACAGTTGGTTGACTGGACGAACAACCGCCATGTTTTTTTGCAAGGTCCTTTCGGAAGTGAGAATTCCAGCAGCCTTTTTGCTCCCTGGCTTTATTGATGGCCTCGGGCGCAATTGGGGTACAAGCAACGCAGAGCATATGCCTTCCTTGTAAAGACAATGACTGCAAGCGTGCTAGCAAGTCCAAGTGCTCCCGTCCCCGTCTCACGGAAAGCCACCCCATCAATCCCAACCACTCCGACTGCGTGCCAAAATTAATGTGCTTTATTGCTTTGCAGTAAACCATTTTGAACTAAAGCCTGCTCCGTGCAATGCCCATGAGAATAT